GTTAGTTAGTTAGTAGTTAGTAGTAGTAGTAGTAGTAGTAGTAGTAGTAGAGAGAGAGAGAGAGAGAGAGAGAGAGAGAGAGAGAGCACCAGTTTTCAGATGTGGTTAGTGAGAACAAGCCGACATGGTGGTTGGAAACACTCCCCAGCACAAGAACTTTACTAATATCTGATACTGGGATAGATCCTCGATGATTAATATACTCATGCATGATCCATGTGACGTACAAACCTTATCATGGCATGGAAACATCACCAGATTGCAGGAGATGGATTGTCATGAACGGAGAACGGAGATGACACCACGCTCCGTTCATCTTCTACTCTCCCTGCTTCCGTGCCTCTCAATCTTGTCAGCCTCTTCACTTCCGGATCCTGAGAGCTTCCTCCTCTGCCTCTCTTCTACCGCTTCACCCTCCACCGACTGGTCTCATCTCCTCTACCTCCCCAACAGCCCTTCCTACTTCTCCCTCCTCAATTCCTCCATCCAAAACCTCCGGTTCACTTCCCCTGAAACACCAAAACCCCTCCTCATCATCGCTCCCACTGATTCATCCCAAATTCAAGCATTGGTCATCTGCTGCAGGGATCACGGCCTGCCGATCCGAGTTCGGAGCGGCGGGCACGACTACGAAGGCTTGTCGTACCGATCCGAGAAGAAGAGCAGCTTTGTCTTGGTCGATCTGGCCGACCTCCGGTCGGTGAGCGTCGACGTAGAACACGCCGTGGCTTGGGTGGAAGCTGGAGCCACCGTCGGCGAACTCTACTATAGGATTGCAGAACACAGCGGGACGCTTGGGTTCCCCGCCGGCGTCTGCCCCACGGTCGGCGTCGGCGGCCACCTTAGTGGCGGCGGCTTTGGGCTCTTGTGGCGGAAGTATGGCCTCGCAGCTGACAACGTTTTGGACGCCAAGGTAATCGACGTCGATGGCAGGATCCTGGACAGGGAATCCATGGGCGAGGACCTCTTCTGGGCCATAAGAGGCGGCGGCGGAGCAAGCTTCGTTGTCATCGTCTCTTGGAAGGTCAGATTGGTCCCCGTCCCTGCCACCGTGAGCATGTTCACCGTTCACAGGACGTCGGAGCAGGGGGCAATCGAGCTGATGAACAAATGGCAGAACATTGCTCACCTGCTCCATGACGACCTGCTCCTCCGCGTTAACATAGCCCAAACCGAGGGGGCAAAGAGGAGGGTGGAGGCGGTGTTCATGTCCATGTTTCTTGGAGACTGCGAAGGGCTCCTCCAACACATGGGGCACAGCTTCCCGGAGCTGGGCGTGGAGAGGGACGACTGCAGAGAGATGACTTGGATCGAGTCTGCAGTACATGCCGCAGGGCACACAAACAGAGAGCCGATAGAGATTCTCACGGACAGAGGATTGCAGCCGAAGATCTTCAACAAAGGCAAGTCTGACTACGTGACAGAGCCCATCCCGATGACGGGGTGGGAAGCCATCTGGGGTAGGATCTCCGAGGAGAAAGCTGGTTCGATGCGGATCGATCCCTGTGGTGGGAGGATGAGTGAGATAGAAGAGTCACAGACGCCGTATCCTCACAGGAAGGGCAACCTCTTCATCATCCACTACCTTTCTATATGGAAAGATGGTGGTGTTGCAGAATCCAAGCAGCACTTGGATTGGAGCAGGAGGATGTACAGATTCATGACTCCATACGTCTCCAAGCATCCTCGAGCTGCGTATGTCAACTTCAGGGATCTTGACCTGGGAAAGAACGATGGTAGCAGGAGCTACTCTGAGGCGAAGGTTTGGGGTGAGAAGTACTTCAAGAACAACTTTAGGAGGTTGGCCATGGTGAAGGGCGTGGTGGATCCTGGCAACTTTTTCAGCCATGAACAGAGCATCCCACCTCTTGTCGTCGAGACTGAGAAGATGTCACAGTAGATTGGCTCCGAGAGGATGCCATCGATCAGTATCTTGTTATGATCTCACTGTTTCCTCTACCCACAAATCAGCAATATGATCAGTATCTTATTGCATGTGTTAATAAGATGAGAGAACCGAGAGTACGGTGACAGCTTTGGCTTCTTTCCCACTGCCTTTGGATGGCAACATCCACTGTGAGTGAGAAACATCTTTGAACTTTCCTGGGACATTTTATACTCTCACTAGTTTAATCTGACAACAGTCATGTGAGCTCACTGCATTTGACAGATACTTGTCAGTGTCCCGAGCTCAGGTTAAAGTAATTAGGCCGCCGGACATGGGAGTCAACACTGTTCATATAGATATGGCTTCAGATAATGTTCTATCAGAAGTACTAATAATAATCCAAGTAGAAAAGGAAGTGTTTTTGACCTCTCTAGTAGTCTTTGGAGCAGTAGCCCAACACATGGCGACAGTGGAGAGGAAGGCCACTGAAGCTTTTTAGCTGTGGGGGAGGGAGGGGGCACCGAAGCAGGTCAGATCAACACATGAGGTAAGACCTGTCTATGTGCCCACCGTCTTCTGCGTACATTAGAATAATCACCAAACCATATTGGATTCTCCAACAGACGGTGCCCATTGCGCTGCAAACAGAGCACTCTGCTCAATAAATTTGCCGGCCGAAGTAGGCCTTCCATCGCAGCACATTACCTTTCGTCGGTTCATGGCTTCTCTTCTTCCCGGCTTCATCGTATTCTCTTTGCTTGCTGGTGTCCTCCATGGTCAGCTGTCGCCATCGTTCTACGCCACCACCTGCCCCAACCTGCAGACCATCGTGCGGTCGGTGATGGCCCAGGCCGTCAGCCAAGAGCCGCGTATGGGTGCGTCCATTCTCCGCCTCTTCTTCCATGACTGCTTCGTCAATGTACGTCCATTTCTCCATTAGCTCTCGTCTTGTTGCTTTCTATGGTGTGGTCACGTCTCGTCCGTCACCATCTGAATGCTGGGATCAGGGCTGTGATGCGTCGATTCTGCTGGACGACACGGCGAACTTCACAGGCGAGAAGAACGCGGCGCCGAATGCGAACTCCGTCCGTGGCTACGAAGTCATCGACGCCATCAAAACCCGGGTGGAGGCGGCCTGCAACGCCACGGTCTCCTGCGCCGACATCGTCGCCCTCGCCGCTCGCGACGGCGTATACCTGGTCAGTACACCAATGTCCTCCCGAGAGTAGAGCGTGTTGCGGTGTTACATGGAAACTGCCGCTGCAGCTTGGGGGTCCGACGTGGGCGGTGCCGCTGGGCCGCAGGGACGCGAGGACGGCGAGCCTGGACGCGGCCAACTCCAACCTCCCGGGCCCATTCTCCAGCCTCGCCACGCTGATCTCCATGTTCGACGCCAAGGGCCTGAGCGCGCAGGACATGACGGCGCTCTCCGGCGCGCACACCATCGGGATGGCGCGCTGCGGCCTCTTCCGCTCCCGCATCTTCAACGACGCCAACGTGAACGCCAGCTTCGCCGCCGAGAGGAAGCTGACCTGCCCGGCGACGGGCGGCGACGGCAACCTGGCCCCCCTCGACGTGGCGACCCCCAACCTGTTCGACAGCAGCTTCTACAGGAACCTGGTGGCGGCGCGGGGCCTACTTCACTCGGACCAGGAGCTCTTCAACGGCGGGTCTCAGGACGCACTGGTGCGCAACTACAGCGTCAACGCCACGGCGTTCGCCAGCGACTTCTCGAGCGCGATGGTGAAGCTGGGATACCTCAGTCCTCTCACCGGGAAAAATGGCGAGATCAGGTTGAACTGCAGAAAGGCGAACTGATATGATGCAGTAGTCACTGTTCTTTCACGTAGCGAGGAGACAATTATAAGATCTATTTCTTCAACAAAAATCAAGAATAAGTTCTCGTCGCCGATGGTAAGAGGAACGATAACTATTGACCGAATGATTCTGTACGGTTGTCAACCTTATCATCTACTGATCGTATCAGTAGTCGTTCGCACTGTGATCGACCCTAAGCTAAGATGACAACATTGAAGGAGAAGCGTCTCCTACCGCACGGCACAAATAGAGTGGCAGCTTCATGCCGACGGTAGTAATAGCATGGTTGGAGGTGAAGAAAACAGAGCAACTTCCGGAATGCTTAGCATAGCCTCACTGGTACGTGAGACAGCTCGGATCGATGTCAGTCTGGCATACAGAAAGGGATTGGCCTGCACAATGATCACATGCACGTCCTTTTCGATGCCTCACAGGCAGGTCACTGTCATGACAACTCGCTCATCCGTGTCCCGAACTCCATGGCTACTATAGGCCAAAGTTTACTCGGCTGTCACACCGATTTCTGCACTGTGGAATAGAGTCCGTGGCAAATGAGAAGCTCAACCCGATGTTGACTGTGAAGAAGACGAGAAGAGGGAACGTGTTGACTGTGTACCCGTGAGTGGCTACTTCGAGTTCGACTGCTGTGCATGGGAGCGCGACAATTAAAGCAGGCTTGCGTGCCTTGGCTTGTGAATGAGCAGCTCCTATCGGACGGAGGTGATGAGTAATCAAATAGTAATCGTCCCTATTGAAAGTTTGAACAGGTGATGAGGTCTGTCTTGTATGTAAGACTCCCGGTCAGCTTAGATCAAACAGCATTTTGATCTAACCTCCATTAGAAGCAAGAGATGAGCTAGATGAACTTATATGGATATAGTATTATTAACATGAGGGTAAATATTTTTTTATAAATTATGATCAATAATTTAATAGATTAATTATTTTCTTGAAATAATTTTTCTCTCCGCATTCTTTAATTTCCAAAATCATCGTTTCCTTGAACTATTCTATTTTGTTAAACAAATCGTGTATCGTTTCACAAATACACTTTAGATTATAAATCTTAGTCAAAATAATTTGTTGTACTCCATAAAGTCTAGCAATGTGTTAAATATGTTAGCGAACCTTTACGTCATGGTCAAGGTGTCAATACAGTTTGATCCAATCCTAGATACGTAAGGTCGTCCACACAGATGCTCGAGGGGTGAAGACTAGCATCGAGTCTTGTTGAGTTTGAGAATCTTCTGCCAAACGTGGTCTTCTCTCTTGTTGAGAGACTTACTTCTTCATCGTCGGGTTTCTGCACACGAGCTGAGGTCGAGAGGTGGATTTCCTAACCCGATTCCTCCAAAGCTTAGGTTAGTGGTGTGTGGATAAATGAGTCGAATGTTTGATGTACCTTCCTCGGCATCGATGAGGGGGTTATCTTTTATGCCTTCGAAAGAGGGTTGGTCATACAAGATCAATTAATCGTGATCGACTCCTTGGGTGGTCGGCATGTACATGTCGTGTGAGCGCCAACTGACCCACACGGTGTCGTTCCAAGCTTTTTGGAGCGACTCTGTGTTATACGACACCGTCTCATATGATCTCGGACAGCATGAGACAGACGATCATTCGACCTGAGTCCAGGGTGCCACGTCGACGCGACACCATATCAACCCTGAGGCTCCATCTCGATACTGACATGACTGCTTATGATTATCACAGGAGTGATACCAGAATATGTCCCGGACCTATTCCACGATATAGTCTCTCGCAAGTATATCTATCCCACCTCGAAGTAAAATTTTTTGTGCTTTATGACGTTGGAATTTGATCACCTATAATAGATCAGGATAGTCTCTCGTCCACCTGTTAGAAACGAAAAAGTGAAGGTAAAGTCAAACCGAAGAGGAAGAAGAGAGAGACACTGCCCGCATTCTATTTGTCCATGGGAGCTGTACAAGTTCTGCAGGTGAAACCGTAAGTTCCCGAGGCGGCTCTCTGACACTGCACGCAACAGTAGATTGATTCCTCGCTAGCAAGAAAGATGTAAATCTTCTTATTACTTCTTGCTGCAGAAAGGTTCCCTGTTCTCGTTCTTTACAGGCAGTGGACACCCCCAACCAAAGTCCAGACGAACGATTACTTCACGTAAGAATCCATCACCTCCGTCGGTGGGGAAGATGCGTCATCCACCAAACAAACACGTCTACATGCATGTCCTCCAACTTTGCTGACATACTCAATCCCATGAATACTTACTTCACGGTAAAAATCTAAGCTGCTGAAGTTGATCGGACATCTCACTATCTTTACCGATTCCGTTCCGATTTGAATCGAACCGTGATCAGAATTAATCAAATTAACGAATCTGAAATTAAATCATATGGATCCATGCTAAAGAAGGACACATACGAGATTAAAGAAAGAGCATCCAGCTAAGAAGAGTCCTTCGGATGCATTCCGATTCGTGTTCACAGTGGATAATAGAGCAACACTTGACCAGCCACCAAACCGAGTGGCCCTCACTACTGTTATGTTTGGTGCACCTCGATCGATCTCATCACAACAACCTATATAAAAAACCATGGTGACACCTTCATCACACCTACTCTAATCTTCCAAATGGTACAATGATTGATCCCAACAAAGTGTTACCAAGAGATTTCCACCCAACGATAGAGTCCAAATGCCATGGAGTGGGCATGGGAGAGTGTCGGCGTCACCGCACGCATCTTGAAGCGAGCAGGGCTCGTGTCTCCCTGCTTTATGATTCGCGAAGAGCTCCATTTCCACCATCCAAAGATCGTAACGCGAAGGTTAGGTCCGATGTTGCTGTCGAGAGGAGGATCATATGGTGTGTTAGGCCAATTATTGGCATTCGCCCACCGATCCTGGTCACATCAACCCTAGGGTATTCACGACGAGAAGACGAACCATGCAAAAAACACACACTGTCGCAAGAGAACTATATATAGCTTTGCCAACGGAAAGCCTATCTCATTGCATCTTCACAGATTTAGGCTTCGCTTCGATCATGGCTTCGTACTGCTCCGCCTTCCTTGCGGTAGCTACCGTCTGTTTGGTGGCTTGCAGCGTACGTGCGCAGTTGTCACCCACATTCTACGACTGGACCTGTCCCAGCCTGCGGAGCATCGTACGGTCGGCGATGACCCAGGCCGTCGGCCAGGACCCTACGATGGGCGCCTCCATGCTCCGCCTCTTCTTCCACGACTGCTTCGTCAACGTGAGGCATCGATTGCTTCTCCATGCTTTAGATGGATAAGTTTGTCTGCTTGACTTCTTAGTTAGATTGCTTCCTGTTCGATGTCGGTAAGATTAATTCCAAACTTCAGTTGATCGAAAGATTTAGGGAATGAACGGTCGGGATGTGGTGGTTGGAAGGTTCTAATTCCCTGCGGTGTCGGAAAGGAAACGTCCATCGGACAGCTAATGATTTGATCGCATAAGCTTCTTTACAGCCTGGAGTGTCCCAATGGGTGAAAAGAAGAATTAGCACAGAGGAATTCTTTGTCGATGGTGGATGTTTCGTTGACCAGTGTATTTGACCTTTTCCTCAGGGCTGCGACGCATCCGTCCTCCTCGATGACACACAAGCCATGACCGGCGAGAAGAACGCGCCGCCGAACCGCAACTCCCTCCGCGGCTACGAAGTCATCGACTCCATCAAGGCCCAGGTCGAAGCGAGTTGCAGAGCGGTGGTGTCGTGCGCCGACATCCTCGCCCTCGCCGCCCGCGACGGGGTCAACTTGGTCGGCCTCATGCTATCCATTCCATAACAGTGCATTGGACACGTAAAACTGATGGGCTTTCCGCATGCAGCTCGGTGGACCAAGTTGGGTGGTGGCGTTGGGCCGCCGGGACGCGAGGACGGCGAGCATTTCCGCGGCCGTCGCTAACCTCCCGCCCGCCTCCGCCAGCGCATACACCCTGATGTCGACGTTCGCGGCCAAGGGCCTCGACATGCGCGACCTGACCGCGCTCTCCGGCGCTCACACCGTCGGCAGCGCCCGCTGCAGCAACTTCCGCCCCCACGTCTACAACGACAGCAACATCGACCCGGGCTTCGCGTGGCTCCGGAGGCAGACTTGCCTGGCCGTCGGCGGCGACGCCACGATGGCCCCGCTGGATTCCACCAGCCCCACCCGGTTCGACAACAGCTACTTCCAGAACCTGATGGGCCGGAGGGGGCTCCTGCACTCCGACCAGGAGCTCTTCAACAACGGGCCAGCGGACTGGCTGGTGCAGCTCTACAGCTCCAACGCGACGGCATTTGCCACGGACTTCGCGGCATCCATGGTGAAGATGGGAAACATCAGCCCACTGACGGGATATCTCGGGGAGATCAGATTGAACTGCCGGAGGACGAACTGAAGGATTCTTTGCATTCTGCAGTAGTACTATTTGTGGATAGAGTTGCTCGGTTCTATTTGTTCTTTGCTATCATTGCTCATCCATGTATATTTGTCTTCTTTCTCCTTGGAATTGTTCGTGAATCAAGCAAGAATAGGAAGAGATCACTCGTATGAATAATCCACCAAGCAATGCAAGATGAGTTTCCACTAACATTCTTCTTCTTCTTCTTCTCTTTGGGAGTGGATGATGGTCGGTGCTACTTTGGATTCCTCATAATGGAGAATGTGCACTCGGTGGTGTGGTCTTGCAGTGGCAGATGAGAACGACAAGCATGCGCATATATGTTGTTCTTTATTGCCTGTCAACGTAAAATATGTCCTCGTCATGGTGTTCCTCGAAACTTCATGCACTATAGAATATTTATCATATCACCTATGATGTAAACACATTAATAATATATATATATATAGGTATGTTAAAAGCCCTTGCATTCATAATTGTGGCAACACTATATGCGACATGCATGTGAAAGGGCATCTCAATTATAAAGGAAACATAGCAACGTGACGCTAGATTTGTGTTGGTACATTGCATGTGCACCTCCACCCTCTACAATCACACCATTCCCATAAAGAAATGGCAAGCTTAAGCTTTGCACCTGTTTGCCATGGCTAAGAGGTCGTATTTTTAGTGTGCAAACACGAATAATATATAACAAGTAGGGTATATTTTTTGTCACCGACTTGACTTGCACTTAGGTTTATGCCCAACCTGATATAGATGAAAGATTCTCCTCCTTACCACACATTGATGGCTGCTATCCTTCTTGATCCGATGACAACGAATCATGCTTCTCTTTTGTTGTTGTATGTAGTCATAGGAAATGGACCATTCCTATCTCGTTTCCCCTCCCTCTCGGGCAGTCTTACACCATCTCTCCACTGGATGGATGGATTTGTCCGGCTTACTGCTTTTGAAGACTAATTTGACCTGTTTTGGAAAAGAGACTGATCCAACCTCACTGCCTCGATCAACCTCAAGAACAAACTCGCTGTCACGCCATCCTCCATCAACACAACAAAAAGTAAAAAGTTTCAGATCAGTTGTTTCACGTATAACTTTGTTATTTATTTAAGATTAATTCATATAAAAAAATCATTGATATCTTGATTGGACATGATCCGAACTATTAAGCTCCTAGAGTGTCACTTATGCAAAGATCGATGTCGGATTAGGCTTCTCAACCTAATCCTTCCTATGCAATTAGTCATCTCAATTTCAAGTTTGATTGGTCCAAAAAAAGATACTTTTATTTTTATATTAAATGTAAGTTTTTAGATTATCTTTCTCCGCATAAATGATGAAAAGGAATCTATTAATTATCTTTATCATCATAAATGACAAGAAGAAAACTTATAATTGACTTACTTGTCATAAATGACAAGAAGAAAATTTCATATTCTTCTTTTTCTTCGAGTATCAAGCCTCTCATGTGGTGAATAGTGGATAGTATATTTGCTTGTAATTGATTCCTCCTCACCATCTTTTCCATTATGCAAAGGTTTCCCAAACGTAGCCTGAAGGTTCATGTGGTCCTGGCGTTCTAATGCCCTTCTTTTGAACACTGTTTGTGGCCTCAATTCTGCACCAAATCTATTGATTGTGGTTGCGCGTAATCAATGGGGATTAAAGTTTTCATTTACTGCTGCTTAATTATATCTGAACAATTTGATGGCATCAATGTTTGAAGCCATGCAAGCGGGTGCAGTACTATATATATCCGGCCGTCTCGGGACGCTCTTCCCATCTCCAACTCGAGCTTCCTGTTGATCAACCATGGCCGCCGCGTTCTGCCTTGACAGAGTGCTCGCCTTCTGCTTCCTTGCTCTGCTTGCCTGCGCCGCCGATGGACAGTTGTCGCCGACGTTCTACAGCTCTACGTGCCCCAATCTGCAGAGCATCGTGCGGTCGGCCATGACTCAGGCCGTCAACAAGGAGAGGAGGATGGCCGCGTCCATCCTCCGGTTGTTCTTCCACGACTGCTTTGTCAGTGTATGCGTCGTCTCTCTCCTCTTCCTTCTTATCTGTCACAGAGATACCATGGAAATGCTTCTGCCAACGCAATCCGTCTCTTTGTTTGTGATCGTTTGGTCTATGAAGAAAGATATGAACAGAGTACGCCCAGTAATTTCTTGCGATAGAGATTCTTAATGGTGATTTGTGGCGTGCCGTCGCCAGATTGAGTTAGCTGTCATGATTTATTGAGCTCAACTCGAAGTACATCTTGATTGGCATCCTTTTGTCCTTCTTTAGTTTTGACCACTGTCAAAGTGTGTCGATCTACTCTGTTCTCTACACTCGACTGTGCTATGATCTCAGTGACATCATAAACTGTTCGATCTTTTGACCTGATCCATTTGGATGTCATATTTTGTTCTCTCGATCGCTTTCTCAGGGCTGTGACGGATCGATTCTTCTGGATGACACATCTACCTTCACCGGCGAGAAGAACGCGGGCCCGAACGCCAACTCCGTCCGCGGCTTTGAAGTCATCGATACCATCAAATCCAACGTCGAGACCGCGTGCAAAGCCACTGTGTCGTGCGCTGACATCCTCGCGCTCGCCGCGCGCGACGGTGTTGTGCTGGTGAGTACCGCGACCCCTGCGCTTCCCCAAGAATGGAAGAATTACTTGTGTAAATGTATCGTGATGGAAACATCGGCTCATCATCAAGCTGTCGCATCAATGATGCGAAGACAATAGTGTTAATGACGGCGATGGCGATGGATGTGAGATGTTCACTGATGACTGCGGTAAATGTTCCTTGCAGCTCGGGGGACCAACATGGACCGTGCAACTGGGACGCAGGGACGCCACCACCGCCAGCCAAAGCTCGGCCAACAGCAACCTCCCCAGCCCCGGCTCCAGCCTCTCCCAGCTCATCTCATCGTTCTCCTCCAAGGGCCTGAGCGCCCGCGACATGACCGCGCTCTCCGGCGCCCACACCATCGGCCAAGCCCGCTGCACCACCTTCCGCTCCCACATCTACAACGACGCCAACGTCGACGCCAGCTTCGCGTCGACCCATAAGCATACCTGCCCCGCCTCCGGCGGCGACAGCAACCTGGCCCCGCTCGACCTCAAGACGCCCACCACCTTCGACAACCGGTACTACCAGAACCTGGTGGTCCGGCGGGGCCTGCTGCACTCGGACCAGGAGCTCTTCAACAAAGGGTCTCAGGACTCGCTGGTCCGCCAGTACAGCACCAACGCGGCGGCCTTCAGCTGCGACTTCGCGGCGGCCATGGTGAAGATGGGAAACATCAGCCCGCTCACAGGGACCAAGGGGGAGATCAGGTTGAACTGCAGGAAGGTCAACAACTGATGTGACGTGGCGTACGTAGATGGCCTAACTATACGTACATGAGCACGATTATCCAAGTGTGTATTCACCATTACAGGTAATAACGCTCGTTGTGTGTTGGGGAATAATAATAAAGAAAACAACATGCATCACATGAGATCTCAACTACAGCTTTCTTGCGCGGATGCTCCGCATGATCCATGGCACACATCTTGATGCAGCGATTGACGTTGACCGCTTCCATGCGGTTACCAATTGCGGCAGGTTTGACTTGGTCAACCGAGTTAACGTTCCGAATCCGGAAGTGGATTGCATCATCAGTGCACTAAATTCAACCATGTTTTACCACGAAAACGTCCAATCCATTTCGAGTCAACATTTGCGTGCGTGATGGTAGATGAATGTGACCATCGACTTGGTCGATGACGTTTTCGAGAACCATATTGCTTGCTGCTTCATGTAATCTGTTAAGAGCCGATATCGACTCCGACCAAATCGACGTGACTTGTTCACATCGGGCTCACGGATCGAAATCGAATCACGGTTTGGGCTAATGGGCTCGCGGTTCCAAAAGCGTTCGCGTCTCTCACACGAACGTTAGACCGTTGATATCATTTTGACGGTTCCGATCTTTTCATATTTGTGATCCGTAGCCCTCTTTAAGATCCGCCCGTGTATAGTGACCTAAGTCGTGTGGAGAATCATGACTGCGGCCGAGGATTGTGTGAGATTAATTCTATAATTTATCGTATATAAAAAAAAAGATTATGGCTTCCATCTTTCGTACAGAAAACTAATCATATGCGATGCACTTGTAACATGAAATTTGCCGGTCTCCAACATGTGGTATAGAATATAAAACCCTGCATTTAGGAGAGACAGGTCATGTCCACTGAGCACCGTAGAAGAACATCCCTGACCATCAGTAGACTCCAGCTATTTGACGAACACTGAAGCTAACATGTTCCTGCCTGCTACCTCGTGAAATTTCAAAGCATAAATGATAGTTTGATTATATTATTAATACTATTATTTTCTCACCGACATGTTTAGCACCTCACTCACCCTTTGTCTTATTACCCAATTCAAGGAAGAGCTGCAGCCTTCAATGCAATGATGCATGAAGACAATGTTAGATCGAACCAGTTAGGCACCTCTATCGACTGTTTGAATAGTTTGCATAAGAATCCAAGACTACTCCATCACTCTCTAAGTCGGGTGGAAGAAGGCTGTCATGCATATCGCAGCTCGTCACGGGCATCCATACAAGAGTTCTGCCAGTCAAAGCATGTAGAGTCAACGTTGTGGGCCCCGATCCGTCCCGCACATGCATGCAGATTCGTTTACGTAGTCAAAGAAGAAGGCTGCTCTTCTTGATGCTCGTCCAGTTGTTAGTTGTCTCCATGCAATCATGCCATAAACTATATGATGTGGCCAACTCCGCAGCACACATAGTACTAGCCAAATTGAACCCTCATGCTTCGAACACGTTCGATTCCACGGAGAGTCGCGTGAAGGCAGCTGTGTGTGGCCATCGAGGTTAGCATTTGCTGACTCTTAACACTTAGCTAATTGGATGGCGAGTACATGTGACATGCAGGTCTTTGCGCAGCCATGTTTGAATTCCACGTACCCTTGATATTCGAGAACCATGCAAGCACGGTGACTGCTATATATACCTTGCCATGGAGAGGCTTTCTTCTCACCTCAGCTTAGGCTTCCTTTGGTGGTTCACTTGGGTGGTATCAGGTTGTCCGTCGATCACCCATGGCTGTGTCCTCTGAGAGAATGGCCATCGTCTTGTTCCTCGCTCTACTTGTCTGCATTGCAGACGGGCAGCTTTCGCCGACGTTCTACAGAAAGACATGTCCCAACCTGCAGACTGTGGTGCGGTCGGCCATGACGCAGGCCGTCAATAACGAGCCGAGGATGGGCGCCTCCATCCTCCGGCTGTTCTTCCATGATTGCTTCGTTAACGTAGGGCGACGCCTTTCTTACATTGCATGGTTTCCGATGTGCTGTTTGCGGTTCTGAATATTGGAGTTCTCGCAGGGCTGCGACGGGTCGATCCTTCTTGATGACACGGCGACGATCACAGGAGAGAAGAATGCGGGACCGAATGCGAACTCTGTGCGTGGCTACGATGTGATCGACACCATCAAATCCAACGTGGAAGCAGCCTGCCCTGGCATCGTCTCGTGCGCCGATATCGTCGCACTTGCCGCCCGCGACGGCGTAGTTTTGGTCAGTAGCGCATCCCTTCTCTCTCGCTCTCTGTTCTTCTCTGTTTCTCTCTGTCTTTCTTAGCTGATAAACGAAATGATCTTTTTCAGCTTGGAGGGCCATCGTGGACGGTGAAACTGGGACGCAGGGACGCGACCACAGCCAGCCAAAGCGCGGCCAACACCAACCTCCCGGCCCCCAGCTCCAGCCTCTCCCAGCTGAAGACAGCCTTCGCCAACAAGAACCTGAACGCGCGGGACCTCACCGCGCTCTCCGGCGCCCACACCATCGGTCAGGCCCGCTGCGTCAACTTCCGCTCCCACATCTACAACGACGCCAACATCGACGCCAGCTTCGCGTCGCAGACCCAGCAGAACTGCCCGTCCTCCGGCGGCGACAACACCCTGGCGCCGCTCGACCTGCAGACACCCACCGCCTTCGACAACGCGTACTATCAGAACCTGGTGTCGCAGAAGGGCCTCCTCCACTCGGACCAGGAACTCTTCAACAACGGCACTCAGGACGCGCTGGTCCGGCAGTACAGCACCAACGCCGCAGCCTTTTCGAGGGACTTCGCGGCGGCCATGGTGAAGATGGGAAACATCAGCCCGTTGACGGGAAGCCAGGGAGAGATTAGGTTGGATTGCAAGAAGGTGAACTGACACACCATGTGCCAATAAAAACCCCAAGGGTTTAATAACAACTTCTATCATGCATCGTTATCGAGTGTATCTGCAAGCTTCAAACATGTATTCGCTAAGTCTATCGACTCATCTAATCCAGGTTTGATTACCCCTTAATTGACATTTTTATATCCTCCAACATCTTATTACAGATAAACATCAACATGACGACACTAATTGAAGGCCCAAGTGCTGTCCTAGTTGACTGAAGGAGGCTATTGGTTTAAAGAACTCACAGGCCCTTTTTGAGGCTAAATCATCGGACAGATTTATCTTATGAGTTGATCCACTAAAAAGGACAAGAATTGCTATTGTGTCTTTAGGAAATATGACAAAGAAAAGGGGAAGTTAATTGATAAATATAATAAATTGACATCTTGGAAAAATTCAAAAATGGCATTTCAAATATTTATTGTATAAGAATATCATGAGAATGAAAAAAAAAATCATAAATATGTATCATATACATCTCCTCTTTTGTTATACTAAATTAAAGATTTCAAACTAATTTCATCTCCGTAGCTGTATAATGATAATTGTCTTCTAGAATCTGTTTATGTAGGAAAGTCTTGCAGAAAACATAGGTATAACTATGAAGCACGAAATGCCATGGACCTTCATGCTGCATGGAGAATCCACTTCCTGCGTACACATATGTCGTTTCCATCGAAAGCTTATCCTCTTGTCTGCACATATCTTGTGCGTTACAGAAGGCTCATGAAACCATGAAGGAAATCGAGGCTGCTGAGACCACCGAGGCAGTGGCGTCACTCTGTAATAGAGAAACTTGGGATCCCAAGGTACATCAATGGTGGCTCCACTGCAGAAAGGTTTAGATTACTGAAACCTAGCTTACCAGCTCCAGCTTAAACAATAAGACATGATCCGTCATCCACGCTGCTCAACAAAGAACCCACGCCACAGATTCTGACCACATCTCACCTACTATTACAGTACATCTAGAACTGACAACTCACATCACGTTGGTGCATGGGCCATCGAGCTTTCTGCCGTGGGAGGACACTGCAGCCAGGAGACACATTTCATGCATCATCATGCCCTTCCTTTGCCAGAAGACAAGCTCAATCATTGCATGCATTTTAGGTGTTACCAGACTTGGGAAGGGTAAAAGCATGGAACCTCGGGAAGAAACTAGCTTCTCCAGGTTCTGATCTTAAACTCACCATGAGCACGTACATCGTGCTGTGCTGCTGCTGCTTCACAAGCTCAATCATTGCATGCACTTTGGCTGTTACCTGACTTGGAGAAGTAAAACATTGAAACCTTGTGCTGTGCTGCTTGCTGCTCTTTCCTTCCAAACTGATGCTGCAAAGTGTTTTGAATTGGGCTAACCTTATTTTATTGCCACATGATAAGGAGATGAAGAGAGGTTCATGTGGTTTGACCAAAATACTACAATGAAAATGCAAGTTTAAGTGTACCTGTTGTATAATATTTTGTATGGAAGTCATATGCATGTTTGCTACCTCTTCTTTGCGTAAGTTCACTTATGGGGTGCACAACATAGCTTTGAGTTGTGTGCTAATGATCATTAATTTAGTGGTGAAAGATTCCTCTGTGATCTGATCATCATCTTTATTTACTGTGACAGTGATATCATACTATTTTTTCCTGTTGACTTTACGCACATTGGTGTCACATGCGTAAGCACGTGTCTCCTTTTGTTATTATTGTCTTAGTATTTTCTTGTTGTTTTAGTCTTCACCTTCCAATCAAAACAAAACGTGGACAGGCAGCATTTGGGGCGTGTTCGTTGTCATTTACGTTCTTAGAGTGTTTACTACGGAAGAGGATCATTACACACAGGCCGAGGAAGAAATTGTTATGGTCATCAAGCTTAATTAATCCTTTCTTAATCACTTAATTTTGTATGGTTAGTAGAAGACTTCTTGATCCCTCCCCCACCCAAATCAATCATTGTTGTGTGATGATGGATCCCCTTCCCGACATCGTGTCCCACCTAATGTACCCAATCCCTTCTCCTCTTCTTCGTTATCGTGATAATAATGCACATATATTTTGCTTTTCTTGTTTTTATTATGAAAAATTACAGCTAAGTTATAATTTTTTTATGACGTCATATACGGAAAATCTTGTCCTTTTTAGTCCTTAATTTTATAGTATTTACAAAATTATTATAAATAAAAAGGAAACTATTAAAAAAGATTTATGTCTTCTTTTATGTATTCTTCACATTATATATATATATATATATATATATATATATATATATTGCGGCAGCGGCCGAAGAAGACACCCAACGCAACTGAAAGCAGCGCTTCGTAGCGACAGCAGTGAGAGGAAGAGTTCGAAAAGAGTGCGGAGTTCCGACAGTTAAGCCGTTGCCTTCTCGCCGCCGTCGTCGCTTCCAGAAGCTTGGGTTCATTCCCGACGGCCGTGGGAGCGCCGCTTCGGTTCGAAGTCCTCCGTGGCCGGCGAGAGGGGTGGCGGCGGTCGTCGTGGAAGCGAGCGATGCCGCTCGTCCGGCTCCAGGTGAGGAACGAGTTCCGGCTGGGAGATGCGAAGCTTTACGATGAGGGTAAATCCGATAAGGACGATTCCAAGGCGATCTTGGATGGCGTCGCGGTCGCGGGGCTCGTCGGGATACTGCGGCAGCTGGGCGACCTTACGGAGTAAGTAACCCTTTCTTTGATTCGCTTCTTGTTTCCTTTCTTGCTTGTTCGTTTCTCCCTTTGATTTGTTCTGCTGCTTGACTCGTTCAAAAAGCTGCGTCTTCTGGGACGAATTTCTGCTCGATGGTTCTCGAATTGGCTTAAAGCCCCTTTCCGATGCTTTTGGGTATAGTTAATTTGGAGTTCATCTTACTTTGTGAATTCTATGGTCATAAAAGTTATTTGCGGTGTTGCAATGGGTTATATAGACTTCTTATTCCTCACCATTCATCAAATTTCCTTTTCCTCCTGTGAAATGGTGATCTCGACTCGTTTGCTTACTAGTGAATGATGGAGGCATTTTTGTTGGATGTGGTTGCTTTTAACTGATCAGAAGGAAGACCACCTCTAGAGTTGGTGAGTTGGTGGGCTCACATGTCTCGTACTCGCAAGTGAACATTATTGTTGCAGCTCGTAAAGGTGGCTTGCATCAACTTCAACCCATGTGCGATCTAGCTGGACTCAGAACAATGAATAGATCTGCCTGATGATGGATCATTTGGGTGATACGACGACGGCATGTGTCGGTTCTGAACTTGGCCCGCAACATTGCGGAGTAAAGCTGCAAGTGCAGCTTATACGTCACAAATTCAATGAAGGTCTCTGCTATTGTTATGCTTCTGGAGTAAATTTTAGGTTAGAGAATGACATAAAAGCAGATTCTTCACGTCCTGTGTCAAACGGATTTGCTGAGAGAATGGTTCTTTTATTTTCTTTATTTTATTTAGAATTTGATAAGTTGAGAACCTGGAAATGTTCTCAAGGATAGAAAGATGGGGAAGTGAGGTAAGTGGTTAGTGAAGATGGTAATGTTAAGATCACTCGAGAATAACAGTGAACATGGTAATAGAAGTAACGCAGACGGTTGGTATCAAAGCCTGTGGTTTTGATTTGGGCTCATTGTGCAACAGTTGCTATAAAGGTGCAACAGTCTGGTGCAGTCCCCACAAAGGGAAGTCTCCCCAGCCATAGTAATCGTGAGAGAAGAATGTGAGGATACAACATGTGGTTTGGCAATTAGATATCAGCTCAGCAGAAAAGTAATTGCAAGTCTTATCACCTGGATTTTAGCTATATGATGCAAGCAATAGCTGAATGCTCCGTGCTCTTCAAGGCTAGCTACGTTTTTTTTTATGTGCTGAATGCTAGTCCTAATCGGTGTGATACCTCCTTGGTCCAATGTGCTTCAAGATTTTTATTTATGTACTCTGCTCATTAGATTATGTTTCTCAGTTTTAACTAACTTGATCTTCCAATTGCTTTATTTTTTATTATAGTTGTTTCGTTATGTCAGTTATTCTTATTGTTATTTCTGCTTCCTTTGGATGGTATTGATTTACATAATATTTCCTTTTTCTGATTTTTCTCATGATATTCTGTGCACTATATTTTGAATATTTTCTACATGCCTCTACTGAGATGAACCTGGAAATATAATAGATTTGCTGCAGATGTCTTCCATGACTTGCATGAACAAGTAACAGCTACAGCTGCAAGAGGGCGTAAAATATCTACAAGAATACAGAATATAGAATTTGCACTTCCATTCGTTGAGAAGGCTGTTAAAGGACAGAGAAGCCATATACATTTTGCATATGTTGCAGGTATCATTCTATTGACATATTTTATCCATGCATACTATAAAAATTTTAAATTCAGGTGCAAAAGCGCTAAATACAGTTATAGAGTTTTTTAGCATCAGGGTACTCAAAATAACTTATAGTTATAAGATGTCTTTCTCCATACTAAATTATCAGATTTCAGGTTCCAAATGGCATGCCCGTCTTCAAGATGAGAAAAGCCAACTTGTGCCCAGTGAGTTGCCATATTTTATGATTGAATCGTATGAAGAATGTCGTGAGCCACCACAGTTGTACTTGCTTGACAAGTATGTTTTGTTTGGCAATGATTGAATTATGTGTTCTGATAATTTCTCTGCTTTGTTGTCAATAAACTAAAAGTATCTCCTGCTATTCAGATTTGATCATCATGGTACTGGAGCTTGTCTGAAGAGATATTCAGATCCATCGTATTTTAGGAGGGCATGGGCTGCATCAGAAACAGAAAAAGCTGAAGGTCTACAAAGAAAAAAAGTTCAGAAAATCCAGGTGCTTGTTTCTTTTAAATTTCAGGTGTCTATTTCCTATTATATCAACTGGTAAAAGGGCTTTAAATGGTGATTAGATAGGATGAAACATTTGAAATGTATAATTAACTTGATAATGAATGATATAGTCAATCAACACATACAGCTGGAGTCAATATGGCGGTAGCTGGGCACAGAATGTAACTGGTAAGAACTAGGAGTCACGAACCACAGCTTAAATAAAGTGCCATCATCTGGGCAGTTGATGTAAAAATCTGTCCTCTGATATTTTAGTTAGGAAGTGATTTTATTATTCTTAATTGGTTATGTTTGGTTTTCA